ATATATATGTGAGGCCTCTCAACTGCATCAGGAGTGACAGTGACACAGTGAGACAGAGGCACAAGCACAGAGACAGAGAGCAGGGGGACAGTCTGATGTTGTTCTCTGTGCTCAGCTGATCATTTCCACAGAGTACCTTCATTCTTGGACCACGTATTTCTGTCTTTGTTAAATAAATATTTCCATAACATAATCTGCCAAATGGCAAAGCAGGTGTGTCTATGAGCAACATCTCTCATGAAGAATTAATTTAATAAAAAATTTAAAAAAATTAAAAAACATATTTTTGGTCAACCATGGAAACATCTGCACTGATGAACATGTAATTTGGTAGGAATGTAGATGTGTCTGACCCATGGTTTTTTGATAGACCTCATATTTGAGGAGGGGGCTCCATCTAAAAAGTTGGTGTCTGGACACAAAAATGCTTACAACTCAAAAACTATTCAACATAGGAGCATCAGATTGTTTTTGTTGTTGTTGTTTAGCTATAATGAAGGGCTATCCATCAGGTCCACCAATGAGCCCCCGCCACCCACACAACCAAAAAAATACATCTGTTCTGGTAAGTTCTGGTGGACTGGTGCTTTGCGGAAGTGTGGTGATCATACAGTATATGCTACCACCTTGCAGGATCCAGTTTCAACATGAATTTGGCCAAAATAACTAAAACTCTTATGTCACATCATGAGATAATCTCAATCTAAAACWCTCTCTATTAAACATTTAATTTAAAATGATCTTGAGCAATTTTTTCTGGCTWTGATGTCTTTTCTCTGGTCCAGCTATTCAACCTAACTACTATTATTTTTTACCGCCAAGCTACACACAACATAGAACAACTGGTAAAGCTCCTTTAAATGGAATCTAACTCAAAGCATGAACAGTTGTTGTTTCCATTAATCTTTTAGCTTTTTGTTACTGGTAAACTCATGATACACTGAAGCTCTAATTTTGTTGAATCTACAATAAATGTCAATACCAGCATTTGACTGGCATGTATTTATATTGTTGCACTAATAAAGTGATTCCTAAACAGATATTAAATTATTCTGATTGATGTGAGTAATATATGTGTGTGTGTGTGTGTGTGTGTCTGATAGGCAAAGAATATAAAACAAACAGTGGAGTTCAAAGAAAAAACACTGAAGAACCTTCATAAAGCATAGAGAAATATTAATTTGTATAAAATACTTTGCATCGTGGAAACAAAATTTTTGAAATAAGGGGTGGGTAATACTTCAGGGCAACACTGTTTTATTTAAAAGTAGTAGTTATTGAGTAATACTCACTAGAGCTTTGTAGGTGTTTTAGCCTCATTTGCGCTGATGATGAACAAAGGAAAGAGGATGGAGAACAAGCAGCCACTAAGTAGAAACAACAGATCAAAAGTAATGAAATCAAATGAATCCACAAAGAATATACAAGTCATATTTCTGATTAAACTATCGGTCTGCTTTTTGGTTCTTTTTGCTTAAGCTTAAACTAAAAAAATGTGACACCTGATGATGTATGAAGAGGGCATAGCAGTCAGCAGAGCCATGGGTAAACCAAAACCAAAGTAATATGGCCAGTTCCTCTCAATGTTGGACAGCCGTTGGTGCATCTCGATGCCTTCAACAGAAAGACATGCTTTYGTGTTTGATCTGGCAGTGCAGTCAGTGTGGTTTACTGAGAGTGCAAACAGAAAAATAATCTCACCGTGGTTGAACCAGCGATACTCAAAGCAATACAGGGAGTAGAGGAGAGACATGTGGAGGAGGCTAACCATCTGTCCAATGGCATCAATGGGAAAAAGGCTAACAATCATACCCTGAAGGACCACAAAATAGGAAAGCAATTATTGTAGAGACAGTCACCACCACAAAAAAAGGTCAGACACTAATATTTCTTTAGACCATCTTTACACATTCTCTGTGGCATTGTTTGGACAAGCTTCCTAGACCTGACCAACTGCAGCAACCTCAGATCATAGCTCTGCCCCAACATGCTGTACAGTAGACACTATGATGGTGCATCCTCCAAGACCATGGGTCCACTATCCTTCCAGTTATTAAAGGGATCCCCGATTAGTTGTAACATTAGACTTTATATGATAAACATAYAYTTTAACTGTAAAATAAAGTCTGTAAAAATACTGTAGGCTGTTTAGTTTTTATAATTTTTAAACTAAAAGTTTAAAAATATCTTACACAGACGGGGCCATTTTATTTACATGCAAAGCATTCTGGGAAATTGATGACATCAACTAGGTCATCGGTGTGAGGCTGCTAGCAAGCTATATCCACCCTGAAGGTTAATCTTGGACAATATCTGATGATCGACTCTTTTAAATGAAACCAGAGAGCGTTGACAGAGAGGAGAAGGTAGAAATGACTCAGCCTGGAACTGAAAATATGGATGGAGGACCTCAGTTTAGCTTGTTTGTCGCGCTAGCACTGAGCTAATACATATAAGGCAATACAGCGTGAGGGCCAGCGTGAAGGCTAACAGGCTAAGCTGAGGTTCTTCTTCCATGAAGCAGCTCTGTTGTCCTCCATCTGTATTTTCAGTTACAGACTGAGTCATTTCTACCTTCTCCTCTCTGTCAACGCTCTCTGGTTTCATTTAAGAGTCGATCGTCAGATATTGTTCAAGATTAACCTTCAGGGTGGATATAGCTCCCTAGCAGCCTCGCACCGATGACCTAGTTGATGTCATCATTTACCCAGAATGCTTTGCTTGTAAATAAAATGGTTCCATCCGTGTTAAAATATATTTAAATTTTTTTTTACAAAACTAAACAGCCTGCAGTATTTTTACAGTCTTTATTTTACAATTAAAATAAATAGTTTAATGTTACAACTAATGGTGGATCCCTTTAATAATGTGTTGAACAGTTCTTAACTCAGTTTTAGTAGTTTCTGTAATCTCCTTAGATGTTTTCTCTGCTTCATGTCAATGATTTGACCCTTCTCAAACAGACGACATCTTTTCACGACCACTGGATGTCTTTAAAAAAAGTTGTTTAAAAAAATGAGAAGCAACTCATTGCACCAGTTGGGGTTAAATAACTTGTTGCCCCTGCAGTAATTGTCCAATAGGAGACTCACACCTGTTTGCTTAGTCAAATCCAGGTGGTGATTTTTTTTTTGGCCAGACAGAGTATGGAAACATACTAATTATTCAGAAGATGGACTTTTTTTTGTAATTGTTATGTTTCAAATTAATACAATTTAAAATATTTCCCCCCCAAATTACACTGATATCTCTTTTAATCCTTCAAAAACATCGTTCTCTGGAACCTGCTTGAGCATACTGGCTTTGTTTTGGCCTTTCTTGTGCTACTTTTAGTTTTGAGCTAATCTTTAGCTACATTAGGTTACTATTGAACTAGCTTTTAGATATGTTTAGCTTTTTATATGTTTATATACCCCTTTTCTACTTTTGATTAAGCTAGCATTTTGCTTATTCTAGCTTTAATTGTTTATTTTAGTTGTAAAAACTTAATTTTAGCTTCTTCAGCAAAGTAAATAAGGACTCAGCATTCATGTTGTTTTTCTGGTAGCCTATTAAACATTCAAAATGTGGGATGATATTAAACTTTTTTAGGGACTTTTAAACACCTGGAGCAGCTTTACTCTTAAAATTCAAATGGAAACGTCCTGAACAGAGGTCTACCTGTAGTTCTGCAGTGTTATTAAAAAAAAGAATGATTAGGAATGTTGTCTGTGAACAGGAGGAATGTGAAATGTTGTACCTGAATGAGAAAGAGCGCCTGCAGGAGGAGGTTAAAAAGCATGTCTGCAATGATCTTACTGACGCTGGGGAACGGCTGAGCTTTGCAGCCAGACACTTCAAATGCAAGGTCGGCAATATCCTGAAACAGAGAACACACATCATATCTGAATCTGTGAGGAAAAACAGCTCAGACAAACAACTTGTTCTCACCCAGTTTCCAAAGAACACAATTCTGAATACTAGTGGACATGTTTATAGAAACTCTTAGAAAGTCATTATCTTTCTAAGCTCCTGAGATAAAACTCTCCCGAGCTTTCTGTGCTCCATGTTCAGTGTGGTGCACACTATACCAAACAGCACCATGATTACATTTCATTTTTTAAACAAGTAGACTGAATAATTACAGGATCCAAGACACATGTGATGCTAATTACAGGACATACTTTATAACATATCCCTAAGATTTAATCTTTTTCAAGGGTAACATGGTGTACAGCCAAGGCCAAAAGTTTAGAGAATGGCACAAATTTAGGTTTTCACAAAGTTTGCTGCCTCAGTTTTTATGGTGGCGTGTTTTATTAACTCTTGATTGTGAAGTGTGATCAAATAAATTGCAGTTAATTGCCATTCTGTTCCTTGAAATTGTCTTCATCACAAAAATGACTGCAAATCCATTCTCAATACTTTTGGCCACAACTTAGGGATCTCAGACATCCAGGGACATGACAAAAACAAACAACAAAAAATGACTTTTTAAAATTCGACTTTTTAAATTAAAAATTGGAGAGTGTGGAATTTCAAGATTTAAACTGCAAGAGATGCTTTACTGTGCAAGTTCAAAGTGCAAAATCAACTTTTTTGAGCTTTAGATCAGGGGTTCTTAACCTTTTTGACCTCGAGGCCCAATTTGTTCAACATAAAGTGACACGAGGCCCAGTCACACATTACCATACGGATCAAAATGATAATTATTCTAAATCTTGGTTTAATGTGTATTTATTTGCATTATAACTAAATAAAATAGATTTACATTATAAAACTAAAACTGTCAAATAATCACAAGACATGATTACGACAAACATTTTTTTATATTGTAACCTGCCCATAACAATTATTTGAACAAATACAACAGTCAGTCAACAGACCACTCAGGCTTATCAACACAAAAATAACATTTTTTAACATAAACATTAACAAAAATAGACAATTCGATAAACAAAATAGTGATCATAAAATAGATACATTCAAAAATATTTAATGTACATTTTTTAAATAAAAAAACTGTAAAAAATAAATTTGATGAAGTGCAAATGAAAATAAAGCCTTTTTAAACTTTTGCATGGTAGAACCAGAGGCTACTTTTCATATTAGTGAAAAACAATAACATTAACAACAGCTTTTTTGACAAAATGCTTAAAAATAAATGACGAAAATTAATGTGATAAAGTGCAAATTAAAATATAACTGTATCTGCAACTGTATTTGATAATGTTTTGAACTTTTAAAATATTGCATGGTAGAACCAGAAGTTGCACTTCATATCAGTGACAAACTTTGCCTTTCTTGATGGGTTATTTTTGCTTCTACTTTTAATTTAAAATAGGTTTCCATTCTCGGCAGGTTTCTAAGGTTCTTCTTCTACGTATTAAAAAAAGTTGTTAAGCAGCTGGGTGGCAGACTACCGCTACTAGTGGTGAGAAAGTGTATTGCACCTTATTCAGAATCAATGCTGTCCCACAGCCCTCTGCGGCCCAAAGTTAACAACTGTTGTTCTTTTGAGGCCCTCAAGGTGGCGCTCGTGAGGCCCATAGGTTAAGAATCTCTGCTTTAGATTATGCACTTTGCACAATGCACTTTATGTTGGGCTGAGCCAGTCGTTACTGACTCGACTTCAGCTGGTTCAAAACGTTGCCTCTCACCTTTTAACTGGTACCAGAAAACGAGATCACATCACTCCTGTTTTACAATCACTACATTGGCTCCCAGTTCATTTCCAGATTACTTTTAAAGTCTTACTGTTTGCTCTTAAATGTCTTCATGGTCTTGCCCCAATGTATTTATCTGACCTGCTCCAACCTTACACTCCCTCTCGTGCTCTCAGGTCAGCAGATCACTTTCTGTTGGTCGTCCCTAAATCTAAGAGGAGGCTGAGAGGTGATCGAGCATTTTCAGTCGCTGCCCCTAGACTGTGGAATGAGCTGTCTTTGCACATTAGACAGGCCGACTCACTTACTCTTTTTAAATCAGCTCTTAAAACACATTTTTTTCTCCTTGGCTTTCCTTGGCTCCTTGAGATGTTGGTTTTAATGTTTTTGTTTTTATGATGTTAGATATTGGCTCATTAGTTTATTGTTTTGTGTATGTTTTATGTGTTTTTAAATCATGTACTGCACTTAGGCCAACGGGGTTGTTTTAAAATGCTTTACAAATAAAGTTGTATTGTATTGTACTGTATTGTATTGTATTGTATTGCATGATGGTGTTGAACGCAGAGCTAAAATCTATGAGCATAAGTTCCCGGGTGATCAAGATGTTGCAGGATGTAGTGCAGTCTCATGTTGACTGCATCATCCATTGACCTGTTTGCCCTGTAGGCAAACTGCAGGGGATCCAATAGGCCTCCTGTGACCTCCTTCAGGTGCACCWACACCAACCGTTCAAACGTTTTCATCACCACAGATATCAGAGCCACAGGTCTGTAGTTATGGTGTCCTTCTTTGGAATGGGGAAGGGATTTGGAAGCCAGAACAAATTTTTCAGAAAACCAAGTTGATTCTCTTCTAAAACGTCATTCATTCAATTCATCAGATCTGAACTCCATGCTCAGCTCACAGCTTTCTGCAGGTCATTCACTAGATCCCCCCTTGTGGTTCTGGGATTTTTCCTCACCGTTCTTGTGATCATTTTGACCCCACGGGCTGAGATCTTGCGTGGAGCCCCAGATCGAGGGAGATTAGTAGTGGTCTTGTATGTCTTCCATTTTCTGATTATCGCTCCCACAGTAGATTTCTTCATGACATTATTTGATACAGATTAAGTCAGGGACAGCTTCTACTGTCAACAGATGGATGTGGATGCGGGTGAATCAGTTCAGAGTTCATC